CTATAACTATATATATATATAACTATATTACACTATACATATATAATACATAAATATATTATACCCTATATACATACATATAATATATACTACTAACACCCCCCACCCAACACACAAAACACACCAAACAACTAATATATATATATATATATATATATATATATTAATTTTTTATTTTTTACATTTTTATTTCTTCGAAACTAAAATTTCATATTTAAATAGAACTACTAGATATAATGGAACTTTATAGATCAGATGATACAGCTAATAATCCATCAGCTTTAGTGAATATTTCAAAAACTCACTGTCTTATTTCTTTCTCAAAGGGAATAGCACCACTTTTCTTCATCAACTGCAATCCTTTTCAAGAAATATCCTTCTAGTCGTAATGCTGTTATCCGACTCCTCAAAGGTTGCTTCCGTTAAAGTGGTTCATAATTTATGTATTGACTATTAAATCATAAATTAGGCACCGTCATACGTGAGTTTCTATGTTGAGAAAAGGTAGATAGACTCTAACGAACTAATGGTATGTAATACTACCTTTCCAACATTGTGTATGAAATATAAAATTAGTTGGCCATGTTATTGAAGAGATTCTTATGAATGTAACATGTTCGCAAAACGGATACATATTTGTGTTTCTTTAGTAAGGTCATTACTCCAATAGCTCCACAAAAATATTTAAGTATAAGGCGCGATCCGATACATGCTTATTTGTAGGGCTACAAACGACCCCGAGCTGAGCCAGAGCTTAGACATGGTTCATGTTCAGCTCGTTTGACCAGACCCATGTATCAAGCCTCAGGTTCGAAATTGCCGACGCTTATTATTGTTCGCTGTTCGAGTTCGCAAGTCGTTAAGATATACAACTGATTCGAGTTCAAGTTCGCGTATGTTCAAGCTCCAAAGATCGTTTATTTAGCTTGACGAAGCCTCCTTCGAGCGCTTTGTTAAACTCTTATCGAACCAGTGATGTTAACTAGCCGAGCAAGACATAAAACAATTTTAATTAATATATAATTCAATTAAACGAGATCAGCTCGCCGGTCCAAACCAAGACCGCAAAAATACCGAACAGGACCGATCACGACGCGCCCAAGAGCCAGACCTGCACTAATACTACCTAGAAATGGCTCATAAGATTTGCCATTTGATTTTAAAAAAACAAAACTAGTTAACCTCTAGAGCTCGAGCTGTGGTACTAAAATCACACACCTAAGCGTATTTTTTTAAATGTACTATGTTGATGCACACGGAAGAGAGAGAGAGAGAGAGAGAGAGACAGAGAAGAGAGAGGAATCATAGCCGATGAATAAGGATAATAAAAAAAGTGACTGATGTAGTGGCGGGAGAAGTTTTTTTTTTTTTTTAATTTTAATAGTCGGGAAATTTGACGGCTCGCGAGATTAATATTATATCTTTAATGAAGAGAAGAGA